TTATTCATATAGCTGAATTCCATAAAGTAATAGCATACAAGTATCAGTTTTAATTTAGAGTTAACTTTTTAGTTAAGAATTTCTTCAAGGTAAAAATATGTATTTAACAGTACAGACCTGCACACCTTTATTTAGAAGACTGTTCTACTCACCTTTAATCCATAAGCGTTCATGGAATAGAACATTGAGAATAAATCATCATTGTAAAATGAAAGCCTTTATAAGGATTTATGATTATTTCCTCTTAGCTAAAGTTATTGGATAAGTTAGCTAAGCGCCCCAGCTACAAAGTCTGGAATGATGCAATTGGTAAATATACATTCCATTCATCTGTTAGTATAGCCTGACCTTCATCTAGGATACAGGAAAGGCGTTTCTTCTCATTCTGTATTTTTTGAACACGGGAAAGCAAATGATGATGACTCAGAATTTCGTGTGGCCTACCTAGATCTACCTAGAATAGTTTCTGAATGATTTATCTAAAGAAATCAGAGGAAGAGGAACTCTGCTTATTGGTTTGTAGTAGCTGATCTGCACTTTTGACAACAGATTTACCTTTTAAAAAAAGGTACACGTGGGAGAGGAAAAGAGATTAAAAATACAAATCAGTTATGTTTATATAAAATGAAAAATTCCCCCGTTTGTCATTCCATGTTTTTAAGAAATCCAACTGCCTCATTAGTTTCATGCACATTATAGTTATTAATTTAACATCTTTTTTAAAGTCCAGTGTTACGATCCTGAAGCAAAAGTAGAGATTGCTTTTAACTGGCTACATTTTATGATCAGATTAAGTTGTCCTGATAAGCAATCAATCCACTGATTAAGTTTTCTTATTTCCAATGTATGGGAGTAATTTTAGAGTTTTTATCTTTGTAAAAATGTAAAAAAAAGTTTGCAGAAATTAGTATAACATAATTAAATGCACTATCTAGTTATGCACATTACTTTTACAATTGGATTCCTACCCCCTCCACCCCGAAATAAAAATGTGTATAAATATATGTTCCATAAACTGGGCCAAATTTTACTGGCATTGGTTGGATAGTGTAGTCCTTTATAGTACAGTTCAGCAATCAACTAATCTTGAAAAAAATAGAATGTGGTGGGTTTACTGAATTCATTGGTTAAATATGAGAGTATACTTATTAATTGTAATCCTTTTTACTACTTTAATAGTACAATTTTCAGTACTAAGCAAATTGCAACAGCACAGAGCTCTTCAGGTCTTTGCATTGAGCTTGTAAAATCCCATGTAAGTCATTGCATTCTATCTTGAAAATGCAATGCTTGTAAAATTTATATAAATTTGTTATAGTATCTGATTCTTCTCCAGTACTGAGACTGATCAGGATTTACTGTGCATACATCATTAGAATTTCAACTACAGCAACTTCTCTGTATTTTGACTGAGGACATCTAAGCTGCATTGGTGCATGTTTTCTGTTTTTCCCTGCACTGCAGTGAAGAGAACTTTTTTTTTAAAAAAGTGTTTATTTCAATTCTAAACATATTTACTTAGATTATGTCCAAGGAATCTTTCTTCCACCTAAAATAAGGGCAGCATGTTTATGGTTCATATTAGTGTTCTGTCTTCAACTCAAAAAAAGCTTCTACAAAACTGCAACATCAGATCCGTCCTCAATGGCTCTCTCATATCAGCAGAACACTGTATCTATTCTCCCTGGTAGTAAAGTGAGAGCTTCTGGCTCAAGTACAGAAGAAATTTCTCAGGATCCTGTTGCCATAAAAAGCCATTGGGAGAACTCCACAAATAAACCTTTTCCTAAACATGATTTCATAGCATATTTAGCTCAAATATACCATAACTCGTATCCAGAAGTTGTATGTTTCCCTTTTCCTTCTCACTTGCCTGGATTCTGTGAACCTTAATATAAAAGGGAATAGTTCTCCTTAATTAAGAAAAAAATATTTTCTGATGACACTTTGTTCTATTCTTCCCTATCACCTTCTAATCAAAGAAAGTAATCTTTTTTAAAAAAAAGTTGCTTTGGCTACTAGGTTATGTCAGTAGCTGCAGGATTATTATTTTTTAAATAAAAAGATAAAAAAGGACATTCACAGAAAATGTTTAAATGCCTGATTTCACTTTATTTAATGCAAAAGATTAAAAAAATAGGAAAAAATAGTAATGTGTTAGTTCAGCAACTATAAACAATGAAAGCATAGTGCAGGTGGTATTTTAATAATGGTAACTTAAAAGTATAACGAAAGTGAGATTGTGACAATCACACTCTCCATTAAACAACATTTTGCTTTATTGCTATACAAAGAATCACCATTAAAAACTGGAAAAAAAATTAAGGGTGCAACATCTGACTCCATTGAAATAAGCAATTAAGTTCACATTAGCTGCAATGGAATCAAGTTTTGTTTGGTTTATTGGATAGTAACTGTAGTATTGTTGCAGCTAAAGCACTTAAAAAAACTTTGTAGCCAGGGAAGCATATTGTGTGCATCTGTGTGTATATATGTGGCTATATGCTTATCTGCTGATGTCAGAAACAGATTTAAAAAAACAAAAACAAAATTACATTAGGCCAATTGAAATCACAGAAATGCATTTAAAAAAAAAATCATATCACAGTTTATGTCATTTCTGTAGTATAAATTTATAAAATATATGAGAACTGGTTACCTTAACAGAGGTTTGGAAGAAATTGGCTGAACTGATAAAAAGTCTTGAAATATGTTCCAGCTGTGTTCATGGCAAGCTTTAAGCATCCCACTCATTTAACTACTTTGAAGAACATACAGTGATATTACTGAGCTACAATATGAAGATTGTAACTAAGGATTCTAACCAAATGCCTCTCAATAATCTGTCATGCTTGAATAGCATTTTGAAGAAAGGAGTTACTATCATTCCATCTCAGATTAAGAAACTGAAATCTGAACTGTCATCCCACCTCAGATTAAGCAGCTCAATTCTGAACTACATGCCAAGATGTCACAATGAAAATTTTAGTAGGGGTATTTTTTTAACGTAAAATGCAAACCGTTCATACAAATTAGTTTAATACATGAGGTATTATGTCAAAAAGATTCTTAAGAACTTATCCTCTATTAATTCAAAATCCAATTTTTAATAAAGTGCCTAAATTCTTATTTCATTATAGTGGTTCCAAAGAATCCTTACAGTTGTACATATGTGCGTTTCCCATCTCAAACTTTCTAAACATGTTTACATAAGACACCAGTCTGATCTATATGTATTTCTATAATTTCAAATATTGAATTGGTTTATCATGCAAAACGTATTTAATATTACACTGACCTGTAATACGGAACACAACGCTAGTGGGTGTGCTTATTAAAATGTTAAAAAAAAAATAGAATTGCACATGTGCAAAGTTAGGTTTTCAAATGTGTTGACCACTAAAAAAGGACCCTATCAAAATCTATTCAGCGTTAAATAGAAGACTGAAGATGAACACCTAAAAACAGTCTGACCCAATAGTATAAAATATGATTAAATGTAGCTAAAGAGAATATATTGTTAATACCTAACACGAGGGGCAAACTGCTATTTGAAATAATCATTTATGACCATATGCAAAAGTGGTCACCAATAATTAATGCAAGTGGTTGTACAGCAATGTTGCTAACACAATTGTGAACAGCACAGCAACACTACAGTGAGTCTTGACTATTTCTAGCAGCTGATGTTTATCTAAAATGTCTGTCTTCTGACGCAAAAAGAAGCATGATCAAAATACTAGTTATGCATAATAATGGATGAAGATATAGTCCAGAAGGCATGGGATGCCTGCATAAAAATTCAAGGAGATTTAAATCCTAGGTTGTTTCCTTTAAATGCGATTTTGTTGTTTTGCCTCCAACACGACATGGATTAGGAAATTTCAGACAGAAATCCCCATTAATCTCTCTGCTGACAACGCAGACATGCCAAGCAAAACCTTCTCTGCTGCTGTCATTACCTCTCTGCTTTTGCTCTACTCAATTAGGTGACATCAGCAACAAAAACAATAGCAATAGTTAGTTCTAAACATTTAAGTGTTAAGAAGAAAGTTCTTCGGCACTACTGTAGAAATCCTTAAAACCTACCTCAGTGTTTTCCATACAAGTATGAAGGGCATGGCAACGTTCCATTCATTGATGTTGGAAAGTTGTGAATTTATTAAAAAAGATGGCAGTGCTATTCTGTTTGAACTAACGCAGGGCTTAGTCAATAATTAAATTTATCACAAAAGAACTGCAGGGACCTTAAGCAATTCATGACAAAAACAGTTTTGCAATCTTACTACCAACTATTAGAACTGTGGTTATTTTGCCTTTAACAAAAAACAAACAAAAAACAACCCACCTCCTTAGTCTCTAACACAATAGCACCTCACTTTAAGCTGAATAGTCTGCAAACAACTTCCTTCTACAAGCAAAAAACGCTGGCCAGTTTTTGCAGCAGCAGTAAAGGAATAATATTTCCACACAAATCCCTATTGCTTCACGTCTTTGGACTGGACTGAATAGCAACCTTGCTTGAATCCTATGATCTTTTTAATGCCATAATTTCTCTAAAACCTAAAATGCCTTCAGCATGAATAAGGGCAAAAAAGAAAAGAAAAGAAAAAGGAACCACAGACAATAAGGCAATCTTTACAATGTTGAAAGATGTATTTGGCATTTTTTTTAAAAAATGGGGGGAACCAAGTGCATACAATTTACAGCTAGAAGCATTTCTGGTTTGCCAAGTGCTCTCTAAAAAAAGCAGCGCAAGTCACAGCCTACACTGAACAGTAACTGTCACCAAGGAAGCACAACAAATAGTTGCTATAACAACAACAAAAAAGAGCATTTATAAGTACATACCTTTTGTCTTCAAAAATATAGAAACACAATGTATTCAAAAAAGAAATCAAAATTATACAGCCATGTTTTATGAAGTCTACATTTCCCTTGTCTTGGATATATATATATATATATATATATATAATATAATATATATATAGATATTTATAATATTTATAGGTATATACAGTTCAAGCCGTTTTGTGTTAAAGTTGATGTTGCAATGAAAAACTGGAAAAGTCATGAGTCCCTCTCTTTTTTCACTTTGACATCTCCTGCAAGAATGGTTGCAATCTCCCCTTGCATGAAGGCCCAAGGGACATTGGAACCCACTAGGGGGCACTTCTCCCCACTGGGACAATACACCTCGCCATTAGCTCCTTGCTGTTTGATGCTCTGTCTAGAGCAAGGGAAGCAAAACTTATGAGAAGGAACGGAGGGACACTGCACAAAGTGGGTGTCTTCCAATCGCTCGTGACACAGGGTGCAGCAGAGGGGGACACTTGCTGCCAGAGAAGAGTCTGGGAGGCTGACAGGGTGCACTGGTTCCATCCCTCCAGGGTTTGCCCCTTGGCTTGGCACTTCCCTGGCCAGCCTTCTTTGGTTCATAGGGGATGGAGAAGGGGGGCTACTGCTATTCCTCCTGGTGGTGGAGTGAACCTGGTTGGCATCTTTGGAAGCATGGTTGCCCCCGGCGTTGTCTGCAACCAAAATTAGCGCAGCCATAGGGGACTGGCCATTCTGAACTGCCTCTGGTGGCGTGGTCCGATTAGAATGAGGCGAAGCAGTTGGTGGTGGTGGGGACATGAAAGATGCAGCTGCCATTGGTATTTTCATCCCTTCTGATGAGGTGGGTAACCATGACTGTGCCTCGCCATTGATTTTCGGAGGTCCGGCTTCACCTTCTGGCTCTGGAGAAGCCTTTCTCTTCCTCGCAGCCCGAGCCCCTAGAAAGAAGCAGTGGAGGAGATGAGATCATGTTGCAGAGAGAATGGCCTGTCCTATATCAAGAGTCTAGTCAGTTGAAGCAGCTGGACCTCAGCCAAATTACTCACTGGATACAAATGGGGAAGACCAGCTCAAAACCAACAAGAGTTCACCTTATCTGGGTTTGTGAATCAGCTTCTGCAAGGTAGACCAACGTGCTGGGCCACTGCTCATACTATTATGGTACACGCTGCAGTCAAATGTAACTTACATTGTGCCTCTCTCCTCCCACATTAGTGGCCATGAGCCAAAGAAACAATTGCATGCTTGTAATTTTCCACTGGCTGGAAACACAGTCACAGTCAACTGTGCACCCAATGCGTCATAATCCACTCACACAGAGAAGAGCCCTACGTTTATCCACACACACACTAAGTCTCTGGGCTAACTTCCGCATGTTTGTTCATTTGCACGCTCCGAGTTCTAGCCTGGTGCAGGAGGAGGAAGACAAAACGTTTCCCAGCCCCGCCTGCCCCACAGCTCCCCGCGCAAGAGAAAGTGGCCAGGAGTAAGGAGGGGAAAACCTCCCCGCCAGATGCTGCAACCGCGCGCGCGGAGCACGCTGCCACAGCTGGCTGAAAAAGCGCACCTGACCCGGTGGGTGTTTCAAGGAAGAAGGGCGAGCGGTTCTCCCTCCACAAGAAACCCCACGCCCGCGCCAGACGCCCGATTTTCTTACCTGATTTGGCCGCGGCCCCGTTGCTGTCGTAGCCCAACAGCCTCCCTCCCGCCATGCCGGGCTCCTTCTTGAACTTGCTTTCGAAGGGCGCCGCGTGGCCGCTGTGCTGCAAGGCCAGCAGGGTGTCGCGCACGGTCTTGGGCTTGCCCAGCCACTCTTGCTCCGAGCCCAACGCTGCGCTCCGGTTTTTGCTCTCCACGCCGAGTTGGTCCAGGGGGTCCGCCGAGCCCCGCGCCGCCTGCGGCTGCCCCTTTTCCTTGCCCTCCTGGTCGCTGGCGCCGCCGCCGCCGCCCCCAGACGACGAGGAAGAGACCGAGCCGGGCCGCTTGTGCCCGCCCCCTTCCCCGGGCTGCTGCTGGCTCTGCTGCGCTTGGGAGACGGAGACCTGCAGCGGGGTTGGCGGCGCTCCGGAGATAGCCGCCAAGGAGGCTGCCGCCGCCGCCGCCGCCCGGCTGCTGATGCTGATGGAGGCGGGCAGGGAAGCTCCGTTCATGAGGGGCACCAAAGTGGGGGCCACCGCGTGCGTCCGGCGCGGGTTGGGACTCTGACGGTTCAGTTCGGGCGGCTCCTCGGGCTTGGAGAAACCATTGGGAACGAGGATGCCGTTGACCTGCCTGCTCCCGCCGCCGTACTCGGGTCCCAGGCGGGGAGGCGGCCGCTCAGAGGACGCCAGTGCCGCCGCCAGAGAGTAGCGCTCGTGGGGCTGAGGCGGCGCGCGAGACGCCGCCTCGGCCGTAGCCACAGCCGCAGAGTGCATTTCTTTGGCGCTGAGCGGCGGCGGCGGTTGCTTCGTGTGCGGAGGTGGCGGAGCCCGGCCTTCCTGGAAACTGTGCGCCCGCTTGAGCTGCCGAGCCGTGTCGATGACGAACTCCACACGGTCGGCCCCTTCGTAGTTGACGCAGCCCCTGCAGACGGGCTCGGTGAAATCCCAGATCATGGCCCAGGGCATGCGAGGTAGATCGCACAAGTAACAGGACTGCCTGCGGGAGGCAGCGGCCACCGCCACCGCCGCGGACGACATGGCCGAGTCCAGGGGCAGCGAGCGCCCCGCGCCTCGTCCCCTACCTCCTCTTCCCACCGCCGCTCGGCTTGCCACCGGGGAGGCTCGGCGCGTTGCAACCGCTGCAGCCTTTTGCCCTGAATGCCAGCTCCTTGGGCGAACGAGCGCGGCTCCGAGGCGAAGGAAGCGCCTCTGCTTTCTGCCAGGCTCTCCTATTTCCGGGACTCCGGGGACGTGGCGATATGCATCGCCCGAGCACAGCTCCCTCCGACCCCCCAGTACGACACGCCGCTCGCTCTGCCCGCACCGCACTCTTGCTACTCCAGCACTGCCCGCCGGCTGCCGGCCGCCCAGACACTCACACTGGGCGGGGACTCCAGAAGCAGTCGCCGCCGCTTGGGCGCTCTGCTCCAGTGACTCGATTCTTCGACAGTGCCCAGGAGCGCCTGCGTGTTAGGCTCTCCCCTTCCTCCGCCTGCTGCTCATTGAACTCCTGCCAAGACAACAAGAGCTGCAAGAATAACCAGCTCTCTCTAGTCAGCACGCGGAGAGCGGGAGGGAGGGAGGGAGGGAGGGAACGGCAGGTCTTTCGTATGTGAATGGATGCAAATAGAAGAACTGGGGTGTCTTCCCTTCTCCTCCTTCCGGGCAAGAATGCTTTAATAGTAATGCGCGGGGAGTGTAGTTGTGCAATAAAAAAAATAATTAATAGCCACCCTGTACACATAGCTTCGCCCGTTGCAGAAGGTCACCGCGCCTTTTGCGTGTGTTGTAAAGTTGGATTTTGGATTCTGCAATGGCCGCGTTTTAAAATCTAGGTTACCCGAGGAATCGTTTCAACCTTCGATATTGGCTATGGGCGCATGACCTTCGGCAAATCCTTTACACTTAAAGCTGCCTCTTAAATTGAAATCATTAACCGTCCTCGAAATCTCCAAACCAATTCCCCGCGCGCTGCCATCGATTAAAAAAAAAAAAAAAGCGTAATTATAGGTCAGGAAAGGATTTTGGATAATTATCGAGCCTTTATAAGAGCGCTGCCACCCGCACGACTGCCAGTGCTATTATTATTAGCAATTCGTAGTGGTTTTCCCGAATTTGTTACTAGTTAATATTCCCAGGCACGTTTCTTCAGGAATAAATCTCTCTGAATGTAATAGGCTGCCTAGAAAAAAGCAGGCATAGGGTTGTATTCTAAAGGTAGACTTTATTTCTGAGTAGAATTCGTTGGGTATATTGGCGGGGAATGATGGGAGTTGTGGTCAAGATATGTGAAATGTCACTGGAATGGGAAAGATATTACATGGTCAAGTAACCAACAGCAAGGATCCTAAATACGGTCCTCGTTTAAAAGCCTACTTTGTTTGCCAAACATTACATGTAACGTTCAAGATTTTCTTCCTGAAACCCGAAATTGCATGTTAAAAGTAAAGTACAGTAACATGCCCCAGACACTATGTAAAATTTACTGACTTTTGTGCTCAAGAATAATTTTAGATTTTTTTTTTTAAAAAAAACCGGCAATTGAACGTAAGAAAATGGAAAATATTTTTAGACTGCCGCATTAAAAAAGACTTTAAGGCGCCGCAGTATACTGTACAGTAACGAGAAGCCGGGGGATCCTGGATACATGCGTGAAAAAGCGCATTAGAAATTATCAACTTGATAGTTCTGTGTTGCCAGAAAATTACCAAAATTTAAATCTATTGTGCGTGAGCCTGCTGGTTTACACTAACCGCTGCCAAGCTTCTTCATAAATGTGTTACTTTTGCAGTGTCTTTTAAAGTCAAGTCCAATACTGGGGCAGTCGCATTTCCTTTCCTCAGGCACCAACGCTACGCTGGGTATATTCAGCACACCCACCTACCCACCCTGATTCGCAGCTTTTCTTTCCCACCCCGCGCCTTCTCAAAAAAAAAACAACGCAGCTTCTTTCTATATAAAATAGGAAGAGCTCGTTGTCACCAAAGGAAAAGCGTGATCCTACTGTACATATATGTAAGTGTCACGCTGCGTGCCTATGGGATCGTGCCGGGTAAACAAAATGGCAGCGTTTTCCTAAAATTCTGGCGTCTAGGTCACCATTCCCACAGTGCTGCCGCAGCTGCTGAGTTATGTAGGTTACAAAGGGAAACGGGGGGAGGGAGGGGAAAGAGCGCTCTGACGTCTGCATTTTGTTCAAGGGCTTTGGCTGCACTCTCCGTGCGCAGCCGCAGTCCAAGACGTGACTCTCTGCTATTGGCACTTGGAAGGCTTGTTAAGCGAATTGCACATTCCAGAGGCGGAGACCTCCTTACTGTTGCGCCGTCACGGCCATAAGCTCCGCCCCCTCTGCTGCTATTTCTGGGCGCCCGCCCCACGCTCCCTTCCTCCCAGGTGCAAAGCTCGCCCAATGTGGTAGCTGACGGGTGTAAAAGCTACCATGTGTACTCCCTTTCTTCGCTCTCATCGCTCCTTTTGGAGGCATACAGCGCTATCATTCATTCAGACCTGTTGGGGTTATGGGAGAACGATTGGCCAATGTAAATCCGGGTGCTTAATTTGCTTGCACGTGTGGGTTGCCTATATCACGATCCGGCGTTACTCTCTAGGAGATCGGTTTCAGCTCCTTGCTGACGCTTTTTATTTATCAAATTTTAAAACCGCCCATCTCCCTGACAGGGACTTTTCACATTCCTTCTCTGGGTACAAACTCAGTTTCTGGAGCAGTCAAGTTTCCGATCGCTATTATTTTTCTTTCTTTAATGCAAACAAGACTCGAGCCGATTTTTTTTTTTTTACAACCTCTTCCCTTTGAACTGGAATGAACTGGTTGTGAGTTGGAAGAGCAGAGTGTAGATCATTATCTCTCCAACTGGATTGGCAAAGAGAAGGCAGGGGAGGGGAAACATGGTGCTGACATTGTCTAGCTTGTTGCTACTCAAAATGCGGCGATTTCTTTTGAACATTTTCTCCTAACGAAGCGGAAAGGTTTGGTTTTCTTCAAAATTCACTCTCGATTTTATTGATCTTGCTGGATCACATGAATAAACTTGTCCTCAAATTGCGTGGCTGTTTAATCTAATACTAACACGTTCATTATTCCTTCCACGATTTTCCCGCGTGGGGATTTCCGCTGTCAAATGCCCTGCTTGTTACGCTTGCGCTTTTCAATGTTACCAGCTATTCCTGCTAGCGTGCAAAATCGGGCTTGGTGCAGGCTTCTGTCTCACAAAATCTTGTGCGCCCCCTCCCAAAATGCTGCAGTGCCCCCTCCCACCGTTTCTCACAGATCCAGCAAGTCACCTCCCCTTTCTCAAACATCCCATCCTGGTTTAAAATGGAGGACTGCAATTGTTGATACACTCAGGAAAACCCTATTGTCTTTTCGGTGCAATGCAGCTTAATCGCTTCCTGCCTTCTCATGCCTCCGCGGTGAAGCCGCATCAGACATAAACAGTGCCCTTCCTTCACCCAGTCAACTCTCCCACGCAGCACAAAGCCAATACTCCTCAGCCCGCCATTTGCTTCCCCCTCCTCTGCAAACATTGTCCTTGTTAAATGGAAAATCCTGCGGGAAAGTCTTGGTTTCTGCTGGTTCTTAAAGACAAGCGTCTTTAATCAAGATCGTGGTCTTGATTCTTCCTCCCAGCCCAGGAAATTCTCATTTCCCAGCTCTGAGATTATTATTATTATTGAAAGAAGCATCTACCACCGCCCCTTTTTGCCCTTCAGTTTTGTCCGAGTTGGCAAGAGTTAACGTGTGTTGTTTTCTAATCCACAGCCGCCATGCCTTTTATGTTCTGTTCTATCGAATTCTTTTGTCAGCAGCTCTCACGGAACTTCCAACAACCCCCCCCCCCCAAAAAAAAATAGCTGTATACTTTCAGTAAACAGATCTTTGTTTTTGCCTTCCATCCACCGCTTTCTCCAAAAAAGAAGCTGGATCCCTTCCAAGCTGGCTGCAACAACTACTTGCCTACACTAAAAAAGAGGGAGGGAAGGCGGGACGGGTTTCTAGGGTGAGGCAATGTGTCTGCAATTCACAGAGACAAGGCTGGAATTGTAATTGCTTCCATCATGTGATGGCTTATGAAAGAGGAAGTTTGGATGTTTTAGTCACGTAGCTCTTTACCCTCTTGCTTAGCCTCCAGGAAAGGAAAATTGCATATATTGCCTACACATCAAGAGAGAGCCAAGAACCAGCATATTTTGACAGAAAAGTATAACCGGTGTGAACTGCTTGCTAATAATAATATTTTTTAAGAAATAAACGGAAGAGAAACAAAATTACATGAGCCTCTTTATCCAGCTTTACTGTTTTTGTTTTTAATTATTCCTGTAGTAGCTGTACCGGCTCTCAGAGTATATCCCTTTATACAATCCAGGAGTCAAACTGGGGCTCTTCTACGTTTTTTGAAGTTTGTTCTTATTTTACAAACAAACAACTGAATTAAATTCTGGGAATTTAACCATTCATGGTTTCTATTGTTACATGGTAATAATATTATATTTAGGAATAGTTATAGCTAGGGGACACCTAATGGTGATTGGCTGTAATACCTCTATGTAAAAAAAAAGTACTTGCATAACTACTGAAATAGATAAAGGGTTTCAGATTATGCTTTCAATAGAATAATATTGATATGATTATGGAGTCTAAGTGGTGTTATGAAGGAATGGGATAGAACTACCTTCTCTGGTAGTTACCTACTAATGTAAGTTAATTAAATGTTTAGATCCAAAGGAAGTGATCCAGATGGAATGGTTATGTTTATTTTTTTGGGGGGGGAGGGAAGGATTTAACGTTCAATCCAGATTCTTTCTTTAGCATCACAATCCAGTGATAAAGATTATTGGAAAAGTAGAAAATTCATACCTGCTGTCTTACATCAAAGACAGAGAGGCCGGTGGCACCTTAAAAGCTAAGAGATTTATTATGGCATAAGCTTTTGTGAAGGTCAAAGAAATGGGCATCCTAGCAGAACATGCTCTATCATAAGCTTATTTATTGGAAAGTCAATCCAAATGAATTCAGCAAG